ACATGGTCTGTGTCTCTCTGGTCCTCCTCATGGTATGTGTCTCTCTGGTCCTCCACATGGTCTGTGTCTCTCTGGTCCTCCACATGGTCTGTGTCTCTCTGGTCCTCCACATGGTCTGTGTCTCTCTGGTCCTCCTCATGGTCTGTGTCTCTCTGGTCCTCCTCATGGTCTGTGTCTCTCTGGTCCTCCACATGGTCTGTGTCTCTCTGGTCCTCCACATGGTCTGTGTCTCTCTGGTCCTCCACATGGTCTGTGTCTCTCTGGTCCTCCTCATGGTCTTTGTCTCTCTGGTCCTCCACATGGTCTGTGTCTCTCTGGTCCTCCACATGGTCTGTGTCTCTCTGGTCCTCCACATGGTCTGTGTCTCTTTGGTCCTCCACATGGTCTGTGTCTCTCTGGTCCTCCTCATGGTCTGTGTCTCTCTGGTCCTCCTCATGGTCTGTGTCTCTCTGGTCCTCCACATGGTCTGTGTCTCTCTGGTCCTCCACATGGTCTGTGTCTCTCTGGTCCTCCACATGGTCTGTGTCTCTCTGGTCCTCCTCATGGTCTGTGTCTCTCTGGTCCTCCTCATGGTCTGTGTCTCTCTGGTCCTCCACATGGTCTGTGTCTCTCTGGTCCTCCACATGGTCTGTGTCTCTCTGGTCCTCCTCATGGTCTGTGTCTCTCTGGTCCTCCACATGGTCTGTGTCTCTCTGGTCCTCCACATGGTCTGTGTCTCTCTGGTCCTCCTCATGGTCTGTGTCTCTCTGGTCCTCCACATGGTCTGTGTCTCTCTGGTCCTCCACATGGTCTGTGTCTCTCTGGTCCTCCACATGGTCTGTGTCTCTCTGGTCCTCCTCATGGTCTGTGTCTCTCTGGTCCTCCTCATGGTCTGTGTCTCTCTGGTCCTCCACATGGTCTGTGTCTCTCTGGTCCTCCACATGGTCTGTGTCTCTCTGGTCCTCCACATGGTCTGTGTCTCTCTGGTCCTCCACATGGTCTGTGTCTCTCTGGTCCTCCACATGGTCTGTGTCTCTCTGGTCCTCCACATGGTCTGTGTCTCTCTGGTCCTCCACATGGTCTGTGTCTCTCTGGTCCTCCACATGGTCTGTGTCTCTCTGGTCCTCCTCATGGTCTGTGTCTCTCTGGTCCTCCTCATGGTCTGTGTCTCTCTGGTCCTCCTCATGGTCTGTGTCTCTCTGGTCCTCCACATGGTCTGTGTCTCTCTGGTCCTCCACATGGTCTGTGTCTCTCTGGTCCTCCACATGGTCTGTGTCTCTCTGGTCCTCCACATGGTCTGTGTCTCTCTGGTCCTCCACATGGTCTGTGTCTCTCTGGTCCTCCACATGGTCTGTGTCTCTCTGGTCCTCCCATGGTCTGTGTCTCTCTGGTCCTCCTCATGGTCTGTGTCTCTCTGGTCCTCCCATGGTCTGTGTCTCTCTGGTCCTCCACATGGTCTGTGTCTCTCTGGTCCTCCACATGGTCTGTGTCTCTCTGGTCCTCCACATGGTCTGTGTCTCTCTGGTCCTCCACATGGTCTGTGTCTCTCTGGTCCTCCACATGGTCTGTGTCTCTCTGGTCCTCCTCATGGTCTGTGTCTCTCTGGTCCTCCTCATGGTCTGTGTCTCTCTGGTCCTCCTCATGGTCTGTGTCTCTCTGGTCCTCCTCATGGTCTGTGTGTCTCTCTGGTCCTCCACATGGTCTGTGTCTCTCTGGTCCTCCACATGGTCTGTGTCTCTCTGGTCCTCCACATGGTCTGTGTCTCTCTGGTCCTCCACATGGTCTGTGTCTCTCTGGTCCTCCTCATGGTCTGTGTCTCTCTGGTCCTCCTCATGGTCTGTGTCTCTCTGGTCCTCCACATGGTCTGTGTCTCTCTGGTCCTCCACATGGTCTGTGTCTCTCTGGTCCTCCACATGGTCTGTGTCTCTCTGGTCCTCCACATGGTCTGTGTCTCTCTGGTCCTCCACATGGTCTGTGTCTCTCTGGTCCTCCACATGGTCTGTGTCTCTCTGGTCCTCCACATGGTCTGTGTCTCTCTGGTCCTCCTCATGGTCTGTGTCTCTCTGGTCCTCCTCATGGTCTGTGTCTCTCTGGTCCTCCACATGGTCTGTGTCTCTCTGGTCCTCCACATGGTCTGTGTCTCTCTGGTCCTCCACATGGTCTGTGTCTCTCTGGTCCTCCACATGGTCTGTGTCTCTCTGGTCCTCCACATGGTCTGTGTCTCTCTGGTCCTCCACATGGTCTGTGTCTCTCTGGTCCTCCTCATGGTCTGTGTCTCTCTGGTCCTCCTCATGGTCTGTGTCTCTCTGGTCCTCCACATGGTCTGTGTCTCTCTGGTCCTCCACATGGTCTGTGTCTCTCTGGTCCTCCACATGGTCTGTGTCTCTCTGGTCCTCCACATGGTCTGTGTCTCTCTGGTCCTCCCATGGTCTGTGTCTCTCTGGTCCTCCACATGGTCTGTGTCTCTCTGGTCCTCCACATGGTCTGTGTCTCTCTGGTCCTCCACATGGTCTGTGTCTCTCTGGTCCTCCACATGGTCTGTGTCTCTCTGGTCCTCCACATGGTCTGTGTCTCTCTGGTCCTCCTCATGTGTCTCTCAGGCCTGACGGAGGCTCAGTCTGAGGACCCTGAGCTCCTGGAGGAGGTGGTGGAGGAGCTGGGGGCCCGGAGAGCTGCCCTCCTGGAGGAGAGGAGCCGCTGTGTGGACGTGGAGGTCAGATCCAGACTGGAGCAGGAGCAGGAGGTCAGGGAGAGGAGGAGACACCAGGCAAAGGAGGAGAACCAGCGACTCAAACTCCTGTAAGTGATCTCTGTGAGGAGGCAACGTAAATGAACAATTGACACACATTTAGTAAAATAATTAAATAACTTTATCCAAGTGCACTGAGAACACGATGAGCACGATACAAGTGAGAACGCTACAGTTTGATCCGACAGAAGCCTTTGCTCCTCCCACTGCAGGAGCAGTTACACTGTGACAATCTGCTGTATCTCTATGAAGGGTGGATCGGTCTGTCCCTGAAGCTGCTCTCCAGAGTGTCCTCCAGGGGGCGACAGTCATGGTCCAAATAGATATTAGCTTGTCCAGGACCCTCCTCCTGCTGCACTGTGTACCTGTGTCTGTACCTATGTCTGTACCTGTGTCTGTACCTGTGTCTGTACCTGTGTCTGTACCTATGTCTGTACCTGTGTCTGTACCTGTGTCTGTACCTGTGTCTGTACCTGTGTCTGTACCTGTGTCTGTACCTGTGTCTGTACCTGTGTCTGTACCTATGTCTGTACCTGTGTCTGTGTCTGTACCTGTGTCTGTACCTGTGTCTGTACCTGTGTCTGTGCCTGTGTCTGTACCTGTGTCTGTACCTGTGTCTGTACCTGTGTCTGTACCTGTGTCTGTACCTGTGTCTGTACCTGTGTCTGTACCTGTGTATGTACCTGTGTCTGTACCTGTGTCTGTACCTGTGTCTGTACCTGTGTCTGTACCTGTGTCTGTACCTATGTATGTACCTGTGTCTGTGTCTGTGTCTGTGTCTGTACCTGTGTCTGTACCTGTGTCTGTACCTGTGTCTGTACCTATGTCTGTGCCTGTGTCTGTACCTGTGTCTGTACCTGTGTCTGTGTCTGTACCTGTGTCTGTGCCTGTGTCTGTACCTGTGTCTGTACCTATGTATGTACCTGTGTCTGTGTCTGTACCTGTGTCTGTACCTGTGTCTGTGTCTGTACCTGTGTCTGTGCCTGTGTCTGTACCTGTGTCTGTACCTATGTATGTACCTGTGTCTGTACCTGTGTATGTACCTGTGTCTGTACCTGTGTCTGTACCTGTGTCTGTACCTGTGTCTGTATCTGTGTCTGTACCTGTGTCTGTACCTGTGTCTGTACCTGTGTCTGTGTCTGTACCTGTGTCTGTACCTGTGTCTGTACCTATGTATGTACCTGTGTCTGTACCTGTGTCTGTGTCTGTACCTGTGTCTGTACCTGTGTCTGTACCTGTGTCTGTACCTGTGTCTGTACCTGTGCCTGTGTCTGTACCTGTGTCTGTACCTGTGTCTGTACCTATGTCTGTGCCTGTGTCTGTACCTGTGTCTGTACCTGTGTCTGTACCTATGTCTGTACCAGTGTCTGTACCTGTGTCTGTACCTGTGTCTGTGTCTGTACCTGTGTCTGTACCTCTGTATGTACCTGTGTCTGTACCTGTGTCTGTGTCTGTACCTGTGTCTGTACCTGTGTCTGTACCTGTGTCTGTACCTGTGTCTGTACCTATGTCTGTACCAGTGTCTGTACCTATGTCTGTACCTGTGTCTGTACTTGTGTCTGTACCTGTGTCTGTACCTGTGTCTGTACCTGTGTCTGTGCATGTGTCTGTACCTGTGTCTCTACCTGTGCATGTACCTGTGTCTGTACCTGTGTCTGTACCTATGTCTGTACCTGTGTCTGTACCAGTGTCTGTACCTGTGTCTGTACCTGTGTCTGTACCTGTGTCTGTGTCTGTACCTATGTCTGTACCTGTGTCTGTACCTGTGTCTGTACCTGTGTGTCTCCAGATACAAGCGTTTGCAGTGTGTCTGTGACTCTGTGAGGCTCTGGAAGGAGGAGGCTCAGTGCTGCCCCCTGGAGGATCTCCTGCTGTCAGCGCAACAGCAGGTCACACATATCACAGGTACAGACACAGGTACAGACACATATCACAGGTACAGACACAGACACAGGTACATACACAGGTACAGACACAGACACAGGTACATACACAGGTACAGACACAGGTACAGACAGACATGATCATTTAATCCGTTTTTTGATTGTTCTCTCATTTTGTGTCTGTACCTTTGATCTTGTTTCGTGTCTTTGTGTCTGTACCTTTGATCTTGTTTCGTGTCTTTGTGTCTGTACCTTTGATCTTGTTTCGTGTCTTTGTGTCTGTACCTTTGATCTTGTTTCATGTCTTTGTGTCTGTACCTTTGATCTTGTTTCATGTCTTTGTGTCTGTACCTTTGATCTTGTTTCATGTGTCTGCTGGTCTCTTGCACATGGTTCCACTGTGGTCTGTGTCAGTGACGGAGGAGCTGGAGAGCGAGGAGGCGCAGGGAGTGGAGGAGGCGCAGGGAGTGGAGGAGGCGCAGGGAGTGGAGGAGGCGCAGGACCTCACGGAGTCTCTGCTCAGGTGCCTCTTACTGCTGCCGTTTATAGTCTTTAGTCTGTTGGCACAGTGGCAGAGTGGTTAGCCTCTCAGCAAGACGGTCTCTGTCAATGTCAACAGTTATAGCTCCAACACAGACCAGAGAATCAAGAGAGACCACATGGTATTGGACCATAGAGAGAGACCACATGGTATTGGACCATAGAGAGAGACCACATGGTATTGGACCAGACCACATGGTATTGGACCATAGAGAGAGACCACATGGTATTCGACCATAGAGAGAGACCACATGGTATTGGACCATTAAGAGAGACCACATGGTGTTGGTCCATAGGAAGAGACCACATGGTATTGGACCACATGGTATTGGACCATAGAGAGAGACCCCATGTCCCTGAGATCCACTGATCTTGAGGTGTGTTTGTTTGTGTCCAGGTTCGTGGATCTGTTTGACTCCGCCCACTACAGAGAAGCAGCGGAGCATGCGGCCCACAGCCCCCGCGGCGCCCTGAGGAACCTCCACACTGTCCGTCTGTTCCAAGGTCAGAAACTCAGTCCTCTCTGGTCTCTCTTTTGGCTCTCTCTGGTCTCTCTCTGGTCTCTCTCTGGTCTCTCTCTGGTCTCTCTCTGGTCTCTCTCTGGTCTCTCTCTGGTCTCTCTCTCTGGTCTCTCTGGTCTCTCTGGTCTCTCTCTGGTCTCTCTCTGGTCTCTCTGGTCTCTCTGGTCTCTCTCTGGTCTCTCTCTGGTCTCTCTCTGGTCTCTCTCTGGTCTCTCTCTGGTCTCTCTGGTCTCTCTCTGGTCTCTCTGGTCTCTCTGGTCTCTCTCTGGTCTCTCTCTGGTCTCTCTCTGGTCTCTCTCTGGTCTCTCTCTGGTCTCTCTGGTCTCTCTCTGGTCTCTCTCTGGTCTCTCTCTGGTCTCTCTCTGGTCTCTCTGGTCTCTCTCTGGTCCTCTTATTGAAGTGTATCATTCCCACAGCTGTCCCGGGACCCCCGCCCTCCCCCCCTCCCCTCCTGCTGCTGGTCCAGGCTCTGCTGGTTAGCACACCATCAGGACAGAGGCTCCCAGAGGATGTGAGCTTCGAGGTCGTCCGCTGTGCCCTGGAGCAAGGCCACTGGAGACTGCTGACCAACGCCCTGCACTTTGACAAGTACTGCTGACAGCTGTCACTCAAACCACTGCTCCTGAAGGGCCTTTATAGACACACACCGATACAAGTACAAGTACTTTAGGTTGAGTACTTTCTGATACCGATACGAATGCAGATATCACTGCGTTGTGTTTTCTCTGGGAATTCCTAAAAAACAAAAAATAAAACATTTATAAATTCAGTTGTACTAGACAACTGAATTTATAAATGTTTTATTTTTTGTTTCAATAATAAGAAGATGCTTTGAAATGTAAACATTTTAGAGATTGTTAGAACAGTCGACACCGTCACATGGTATCATGTTCCACCCAGACACATGGTATCATGTTCCACCCTGACACATGGTATCATGTTCCACTCTCAGACTGGGGGGGTGGTCCCTCGCAGACCGGGGTGGTCCCTCTAAGACCGAGGTGGTCCCTCTCAGACTGGGGGGTGGTCCCTCTCAGACTGGGGGAGTGGTCCCTCTCAGACCGGGGGGTGGTCCCTCTCAGACCGGGGGGTGGTCCCTCTCAGACTGGGGGAGTGGTTGAATCTCGGCTTCAGGAGCAGTGTGGATTTGGTCCTGGACCAGCTCTATACCCTCCATCAGAGACTCGAGGATCATGGGAGTTGGCCTCAGTCACATGTGCTTTGTGGATTTGGAGGCGTTCGACGTGTTCCCAGGGATGTCCTTTGGGGGGTTCTCCGGGAGTACGGGGTCCGGGGTCTCTGTTTGACCAGAGCCAGAGCTGTGTTCATCAGCATCAGTCAGACCTGTTCCTGGTGTTGGCCTCTGCCAAGGTTGCAGCCAGAGGCCGGAGGGGTCCGGTTCAGAGACCACAGCCAGAGGCCGGAGGGGTCCGGTTCAGAGACCACAGCCAGGGGCCGGAGGGGTCCGGTTCAGAGACCACAGCCAGAGGCCGGAGGGGTCCGGTTCAGAGACCACAGCCAGAGGCCGGAGGGGTCCGGTTCAGAGACCACAGCCAGAGGCCGGAGGGGTCCGGTTCAGAGACCACAGCCAGAGGCCGGAGGGGTCCGGTTCAGAGACCACAGCCAGGGGTCGGAGAGGGTCCGGTTCAGAGACCACAGCCAGGGGTTGGAGAGGGTCCGGTTCAGAGACCACAGCCAGGGGTCGGAGAGGGTCCGGTTCAGAGACCACAGCCAGGGGTCGGAGAGGGTCCGGGTCAGAGACCACAGCCAGGGGTCGGAGAGGGTCCGGTTCAGAGACCACAGCCAGGGGTCGGAGAGGGTCCGGTTCAGAGACCACAGCCAGGGGTCGGAGAGGGTCCGGTTCAGAGACCACAGCCAGGGGTCGGAGAGAGTCCGGTTCAGAGACCACAGCCAGAGGTCGGAGAGGGTCCGGTTCAGAGACCACAGCCAGAGGCCGGAGGGGTCCGGTTCAGAGACCACAGCCAGGGGTCGGAGAGGGTCCGGTTCAGAGACCACAGCCAGGGGTCGGAGAGGGTCCGGTTCAGAGACCACAGCCAGGGGTCGGAGAGGGTCCGGTTCAGAGACCACAGCCAGGGGTCGGAGAGGGTCCGGTTCAGAGACCACAGCCAGGGGTCGGAGAGGGTCCGGTTCAGAGACCACAGCCAGGGGTCGGAGAGGGTCCGGTTCAGAGACCACAGCCAGGGGTCGGAGAGGGTCCGGTTCAGAGACCACAGCCAGAGGCCGGAGGGGTCCGGTTCAGAGACCACAGCCAGGGGTCGGAGAGGGTCCGGTTCAGAGACTACAGCCAGGGGTCGGAGAGGGTCCGGTTCAGAGACTACAGCCAGGGGTCGGAGAGGGTCCGGTTCAGAGACCACAGCCAGAGGCCGGAGGGGTCCGGTTCAGAGACCACAGCCAGAGGCCGGAGAGGGTCCGGTTCAGAGACCACAGCCAGGGGTCGGAGAGGGTCCGGTTCAGAGACCACAGCCAGGGGTCGGAGAGGGTCCGGTTCAGAGACTACAGCCAGGGGTCGGAGAGGGTCCGGTTCAGAGACCACAGCCAGGGGTCGGAGAGGGTCCGGTTCAGAGACCACAGCCAGAGGCCGGAGGGGTCCGGTTCAGAGACCACAGCCAGGGGTCGGAGAGGGTCCGGTTCAGAGACCACAGCCAGGGGTCGGAGAGGGTCCGGTTCAGAGACCACAGCCAGGGGTCGGAGAGGGTCCGGTTCAGAGACCACAGCCAGAGGCCGGAGGGGTCCGGTTCAGAGACCACAGCCAGGGGTCGGAGAGGGTCCGGTTCAGAGACCACAGCCAGGGGTCGGAGAGGGTCCGGTTCAGAGACCACAGCCAGAGGCCGGAGGGGTCCGGTTCAGAGACCACAGCCAGGGGTCGGAGAGGGTCCGGTTCAGAGACCACAGCCAGGGGTCGGAGAGGGTCCGGTTCAGAGACCACAGCCAGGGGTTGGAGAGGGTCCGGTTCAGAGACCACAGCCAGGGGCCGGAGGGGTCCGGTTCAGAGACCACAGCCAGGGGTCGGAGAGGGTCCGGTTCAGAGACCACAGCCAGGGGTCGGAGAGGGTCCGGTTCAGAGACCACAGCCAGGGGTCGGAGAGGGTCCGGTTCAGAGACCACAGCCAGGGGTCGGAGAGGGTCCGGTTCAGAGACCACAGCCAGGGGTCGGAGAGGGTCCGGTTCAGAGACCACAGCCAGGGGTCGGAGAGGGTCCGGTTCAGAGACCACAGCCAGGGGTCGGAGAGGGTCCGGTTCAGAGACTACAGCCAGGGGTCGGAGAGGGTCCGGTTCAGAGACTACAGCCAGAGGCCGGAGGGGTCCGGTTCAGAGACCACAGCCAGAGGCCGGAGAGGGTCCGGTTCAGAGACCACAGCCAGGGGTCGGAGAGGGTCCGGTTCAGAGACCACAGCCAGAGGTCGGAGGGGGTCCGGTTCAGAGACCACAGCCAGGGGTCGGAGAGGGTCCGGTTCAGAGACCACAGCCAGAGGTCGGAGGGGGTCCGGTTCAGAGACCACAGCCAGGGGTCGGAGAGGGTCCGGTTCAGAGACCACAGCCAGGGGTCGGAGAGGGTCCGGTTCAGAGACCACAGCCAGAGGCCGGAGGGGTCCGGTTCAGAGACCACAGCCAGGGGTCGGAGAGGGTCCGGTTCAGAGACCACAGCCAGGGGTCGGAGAGGGTCCGGTTCAGAGACCACAGCCAGGGGTCGGAGAGGGTCCGGTTCAGAGACCACAGCCAGGGGTCGGAGGGGTCCGGTTCAGAGACCACAGCCAGGGGTCGGAGAGGGTCCGGTTCAGAGACCACAGCCAGGGGTCGGAGAGGGTCCGGTTCAGAGACCACAGCCAGGGGTCGGAGAGGGTCCGGTTCAGAGACCACAGCCAGAGGCCGGAGGGGTCCGGTTCAGAGACCACAGCCAGGGGTCGGAGAGGGTCCGGTTCAGAGACCACAGCCAGGGGTCGGAGAGGGTCCGGTTCAGAGACCACAGCCAGAGGCCGGAGGGGTCCGGTTCAGAGACCACAGCCAGGGGTCGGAGAGGGTCCGGTTCAGAGACCACAGCCAGGGGTCGGAGAGGGTCCGGTTCAGAGACCACAGCCAGGGGTTGGAGAGGGTCCGGTTCAGAGACCACAGCCAGGGGCCGGAGGGGTCCGGTTCAGAGACCACAGCCAGGGGTCGGAGAGGGTCCGGTTCAGAGACCACAGCCAGGGGTCGGAGAGGGTCCGGTTCAGAGACCACAGCCAGGGGTCGGAGAGGGTCCGGTTCAGAGACCACAGCCAGGGGTCGGAGAGGGTCCGGTTCAGAGACCACAGCCAGAGGCCGGAGGGGTCCGGTTCAGAGACCACAGCCAGGGGTCGGAGAGGGTCCGGTTCAGAGACTACAGCCAGGGGTCGGAGAGGGTCCGGTTCAGAGACTACAGCCAGAGGCCGGAGGGGTCCGGTTCAGAGACCACAGCCAGGGGTCGGAGAGGGTCCGGTTCAGAGACCACAGCCAGAGGTCGGAGAGGGTCCGGTTCAGAGACCACAGCCAGAGGCCGGAGAGGGTCCGGTTCAGAGACCACAGCCAGAGGCCGGAGGGGTCCGGTTCAGAGACCACAGCCAGGGGTCGGAGAGGGTCCGGTTCAGAGACCACAGCCAGGGGTCGGAGAGGGTCCGGTTCAGAGACTACAGCCAGAGGCCGGAGGGGTCCGGTTCAGAGACCACAGCCAGGGGTCGGAGAGGGTCCGGTTCAGAGACCACAGCCAGGGGTCGGAGAGGGTCCGGTTCAGAGACCACAGCCAGAGGCCGGAGGGGTCCGGTTCAGAGACCACAGCCAGGGGTCGGAGAGGGTCCGGTTCAGAGACCACAGCCAGGGGTCGGAGAGGGTCCGGTTCAGAGACCACAGCCAGGGGTCGGAGAGGGTCCGGTTCAGAGACCACAGCCAGGGGTCGGAGGGGTCCGGTTCAGAGACCACAGCCAGGGGTCGGAGAGGGTCCGGTTCAGAGACCACAGCCAGGGGTCGGAGAGGGTCCGGTTCAGAGACCACAGCCAGAGGCCGGAGGGGTCCGGTTCAGAGACCACAGCCAGAGGCCGGAGGGGTCCGGTTCAGAGACCACAGCCAGGGGTTGGAGAGGGTCCGGTTCAGAGACCACAGCCAGGGGTCGGAGAGGGTCCGGTTCAGAGACCACAGCCAGGGGTTGGAGAGGGTCCGGTTCAGAGACCACAGCCAGGGGTCGGAGAGGGTCCGGTTCAGAGACCACAGCCAGGGGTCGGAGAGGGTCCGGTTCAGAGACCACAGCCAGGGGTCGGAGAGGGTCCGGTTCAGAGACCACAGCCAGGGGTCGGAGAGGGTCCGGTTCAGAGACCACAGCCAGAGGCCGGAGGGGTCCGGTTCAGAGACCACAGCCAGGGGTCGGAGAGGGTCCGGTTCAGAGACCACAGCCAGGGGTCGGAGAGGGTCCGGTTCAGAGACCACAGCCAGGGGTCGGAGAGGGTCCGTTTCAGAGACCACAACCAGGGGTCGGAGAGGGTCCGTTTCAGAGACCACAACCAGGGGTCGGAGAGGGTCCGTTTCAGAGACCACAGCCAGGGGTCGGAGAGGGTCCGTTTCAGAGACCACAACCAGGGGTCGTGAACATGCACTGGGACTGGGATAGGTTTGCAGCCGAGTGTGAAGCGGGTGAGAATCAGCTCCAAATCTGAGGACAAAAAGTGCCTTGTCCTCTCCAGGTCCTGGTCCTGGTCCTGGTCCTGTCCAGGTCCTGGTCCTGGCCCTCTCCAGGTTCTGGCCCTCTCCAGGTTCTGGTCCTCTCCAGGTGCAGAGGTCCTTCCTCAAGTATCAAGTATCTCTGGTCTTGTTCTCAGTGAGAGGAGGATGGAGGTTAGATTGAAGGCAGCGTCTGCAGTGATTCTGCCGTTATATCAGACTGTTGTGGTGAAGAGGGAGCAGCGTCTGCAGTCAGAGCTGTATCAGACTGTTGGTAAAGAGGGAGCTGAACCGAAAGGCAAAGCTCTCGATTTACCGGCCAATCTCTGTCCTCTCTCTCACCTCCGGTCATGAGCTTTGGGAATGACTAAGAGAACGATATCACAGGTACAAGCGTCACATGAGTTTCCAGAGCGGCTGCAGAGGAAACTCTCGGAGACCACAAGGAGACCAGAGGAAGACTCAGGACTGGACGGACTATGTCCCTCAGTGGCCTGGGAACACCTTGGGGTACCCCTGGAGGGACTGTGTGTGGAGAGGGAAGCCTGGGTGTCTCTGCTACCCGGCAACGGATGAAGTGGAAGAAAATGGATGGAGTTAATGAACCACACAGTAGTCACTAAACATGTGTTTTTAATCTCTGTTCTCCTCAGACTGAGTCTCTCTGAGCGACTGGGACACCTCCTCACTGAGCACGCTCACAGGGCAGCAGGCACTCATCAGGCACCGCATCAGGCACTGCATCAGTCAGACCTGCATCAGTCAGACCTGCATCGGTCAGACCTGCATCAGTCACTGCATCAGTCACTGCATCAGTCACTGCATCAGTCACTGCATCAGTCAGACCTGCATCAGTCGGACCTGCATCAGTCAGACCTGCATCAGTCGGACCTGCATCAGTCAGACCTGCATCAGTCGGACCTGCATCAGTCGGACCTGCATCAGTCGGACCTGCATCAGTCGGACCTGCATCAGTCAGACCTGCATCAGTCAGACCTGCTGATGGGTCTGGCCTCGGTCTGCTTCAGAGCCTGTGGAGCCCACAGGAGCCTGGCCCTGAGTCTGTGCAGCAGAGGCCTCGTCCACAGCTCTGTGCAGCTCATGAGGAGAGAGCTGTCTGCAGGTAAGTGTTATGTGGAGCTGCTACTCAGACCTGTTCCACTTCCAGGATTTCCAGCCTGCATCATGTTCCCTGCTGGGAGTCTATAAGACCACACCCTGACTCCACCCATGTCTCTCTCTCTGTCCTGGCAGCAGCAGCCCTGCTCACCACCACACCTGCCTTCCCCGTTTTCTTTGTGTTATCTCCCTAGACTTTTGTTTCTGTTAATAAATTATATTAACTTTTAGTAACCTGTTGTCCTTCATGTTGCACCTGTAGAGCCAGGGTGTAACAGTAAGCTCCGCCCCCACCTGTCTCACCTGTCCCCCCTTAGCCCCCACCTGTCTCACCTGTCCCCCCTCAGCCCCCACCTGTCACACCTGTCCCCCCTCAGCCCCCACCTGTCTCACCTGTCCCTCCTCAGCCCCCACCTGTCTCACCTGTCCCCCCTTAGCCCCCACCTGTCTCACCTGTCCCCCCCTCAGCCCCCACCTGTCACACCTGTCCCCCCTCAGCCCCCACCTGTCTCACCTGTCCCTCCTCAGCCCCCACCTGTCTCACCTGTCCCTCCTCAGCCCCCACCTGTCTCACCTGTCCCCCCTCAGCCCCCACCTGTCTCACCTGTCCCTCCTCAGCCCCCACCTGTCTCACCTGTCCCTCCTCAGCCCCCACCTGTCACACCTGTCCCCCCTCAGCCCCCACCTGTCTCACCTGTCCCTCCTCAGCCCCCACCTGTCTCACCTGTCCCTCCTCAGCCCCCACCTGTCTCACCTGTCCCCCCTCAGCCCCCACCTGTCTCACCTGTCCCTCCTCAGCCCCCACCTGTCACACCTGTCCCCCCTCCGCCCCCACCTGTCTCACCTGTCCCTCCTCAGCCCCCACCTGTCACACCTGTCCCCCCTCCACCCCCACCTGTCTCACCTGTCCCCCCTCAGCCCCCACCTGTCTCACCTGTCCCTCCTCAGCCCCCACCTGTCACACCTGTCCCCCCTCCGCCCCCACCTGTCTCACCTGTCCCTCCTCAGCCCCCACCTGTCACACCTGTCCCCCCTCCACCCCCACCTGTCTCACCTGTCCCCCCTCAGCCCCCACCTGTCACACCTGTCCCCCCTCAGCCCCCACCTGTCTCACCTGTCCCTCCTCAGCCCCCACCTGTCTCACCTGTCCCCCCTCCACCCCCACCTGTCTCACCTGTCCCCCCTCAGCCCCCACCTGTCACACCTGTCCCCCCTCAGCCCCCACCTGTCTCACCTGTCCCTCCTCAGCCCCCACCTGTCTCACCTGTCCCCCCTCCGCCCCCACCTGTCTCACCTGTCCCCCCTTAGCCCCCACCTGTCTCACCTGTCCCCCCTCAGCCCCCACCTGTCTCACCTGTCCCCCCTCAGCCCCCACCTGTCTCACCTGTCCAGCCCCCACTTGATCTCTCAGCCCAGGAGTTAAAGCTCAGGCACCTAACTTTTCGGTCTCATAAATAATACATTTATCCCCCGGCGTTAAATCAACAGACTAGAAGCCTGAGTTTCCAAAGTCAAACGGCCCTCGCTGCACCGCGCAACAGGGTATAAAATAAGTATTGGTGCCATTGACTTTTGAATCAAGAGAGCAAAACAGAATTATGTGCAAAATTGCAAACATTTTGAAAAATCTAAATTGGATTCTCCCCATGTAAAAACTTTGACATAGGCTGTAGGGGGCGCTAATGGTAAAAATTCTATATTTCTACTTTCACATGACCTAGACCCTGGAGCTGAACAATGGATTCAATTTTGTACAAAACAGACTTTGTGCAAACGGGAGCAAATTTGCTTTTGTCAAAAATAAAAAATAAAAAAAAGTCCCATTTTGCCGCTCCGCTGCTCGGACAACATTTAACTGATCCAAATTCTATGATCAACTATTGATGGTACATGTGTTTTGTCTCAAATCGCTCCACATGGTCTAATCTGTGAAACGGCCGAGGAGGAGATAATTTCCAACCGACATGTGTGAAAAATATCAATTTTCATTTTTCCATTTCCCATTGAAATGAATGAGCTCCCTGTTTGTCAGGGGGCGGAGCCATAATAACTTTTTTTTCATGTCTTGACTTGAGGAACAAGTGTACCGAGTTTCGTGGCTTTACGACAAACTTGACCTCCGACCCCCTCCCGTAGGCGCAATGTAAAGTTGTAAACTGACTTTTGTAGGGGGCGCTGTTGTGCTGGTCCACACTAAAGCCTGTGTCTCTGTCAGAGGAGGTCCTGTGGGTGTTTGGACGGAGCCCCAGCCTGCGCCTCCTGCAGCTGCTGACCGTCCCGTGTGAGGAGGGGTCGTCTCTGTTGTCTGTGGGGGAGGCCTGCGTGGCTCTGCTCTCTGCCCCTCACCTGCAGGACTATGCTCTGCAGCTGCTCCATGGTCTGCTCACTCAGGGACCAGGTGGGTCACACTCACTGCTCACTCAGGGACCAGGTGGGTCAGACTCGCTCAGGGACCAGGTGTGTCACACTCACTCAGGGACCAGGTGGGTCACACTCACTGCCTCCACAGGGACCAGGTGGGTCACACTCACTGCCTCCACAGGGGCCAGGTGGGTCACACTCACACAGGGACCAGGTGGGTCACGCTCACTGCCTCCACAGGGACCAGGTGGGTCACGCTCACTGCCTCCACAGGGACCAGGTGGGTCACACTCACTGCCTCCACAGGGACCAGGTGGGTCACACTCACTGCCTCCACAGGGACCAGGTGGGTCACACTCACTGCCTCCACAGGGACCAGGTGGGTCACACTCACTGCCTCCACAGGGACCAGGTGGGTCACACTCACTGCCTCCACAGGGACCAGGTGGGTCACACTCACTGCCTCCACAGGGACCAGGTGGGTCACACTCACTGCCTCCACAGGGGCCAGGTGGGTCACACTCACACAGGGACCAGGTGGGTCACGCTCACTGCCTCCACAGGGACCAGGTGGGCCACGCTCACTGCCTCCACAGGGACCAGGTGGGTCACACTCACTGCCTCCACAGGGACCAGGTGGGTCACACTCACTGCCTCCACAGGGACCAGGTGGGTCACACTCACTGCCTCCACAGGGGCCAGGTGGGTCACACTCACACAGGGACCAGGTGGGTCACGCTCACTGCCTCCACAGGGACCAGGTGGGTCACGCTCACTGCCTCCACAGGGACCAGGTGGGTCACACTCACTGCCTCCACAGGGACCAGGTGGGTCACACTCACTGCCTCCACAGGGACCAGGTGGGTCACACTCACTGCCTCCACAGGGGCCAGGTGGGTCACACTCACACAGGGACCAGGTGGGTCACACTCACTGCCTCCACAGGGACCAGGTGGGTCACACTCACTGCCTTCACAGGGACCAGGTGGGTCACACTCACTGCCTCCACAGGGACCAGGTGGGTCACACTCACTGCCTCCACAGGGGCCAGGTGGGTCACACTCACACAGGGACCAGGTGGGTCACGCTCACTGCCTCCACAGGGACCAGGTGGGCCACGCTCACTGCCTCCACAGGGACCAGGTGGGTCACACTCACTGCCTCCACAGGGACCAGGTGGGTCACACTCACTGCCTCCACAGGGACCAGGTGGGTCACACTCACTGCCTCCACAGGGGCCAGGTGGGTCACACTCACACAGGGACCAGGTGGGTCACACTCACTGCCTCCACAGGGACCAGGTGGGTCACACTCACTGCCTTCACAGGGACCAGGTGGGTCACACTCACTGCCTCCACAGGGACCAGGTGGGTCACACTCACTGCCTCCACAGGGGCCAGGTGGGTCACACTCACACAGGGACCAGGTGGGTCACGCTCACTGCCTCCACAGGGACCAGGTGGGCCACGCTCACTGCCTCCACAGGGACCAGGTGGGTCACACTCACTGCTTCCACAGGGACCCAGGTGGGTCACACTCACTGCCTCCACAGGGACCAGGTGGGTCACACTCACTGCCTCCACAGGGGCCAGGTGGGTCACACTCACACAGGGACCAGGTGGGTCACGCTCACTGCCTCCACAGGGACCAGGTGGGTCACGCTCACTGCCTCCACAGGGACCAGGTGGGTCACACTCACTGCCTCCACAGGGACCAGGTGGGTCACACTCACTGCCTCCACAGGGACCAGGTGGGTCACACTCACTGCCTCCACAGGGACCAGGTGGGTCACACTCACTGCCTCCACAGGGGCCAGGTGGGTCACACTCACACAGGGACCAGGTGGGTCACACTCACTGCCTCCACAGGGACCAGGTGGGTCACACTCACTGCCTTCACAGGGACCAGGTGGGTCACACTCACTGCCTCCACAGGGACCAGGTGGGTCACACTCACTGCCTCCACAGGGGCCAGGTGGGTCACACTCACACAGGGACCAGGTGGGTCACGCTCACTGCCTCCACAGGGACCAGGTGGGTTACGCTCACTGCCTCCACAGGGACCAGGTGGGTCACACTCACTGCCTCCACAGGGACCAGGTGGGTCACGCTCACTGCCTCCACAGGGACCAGGTGGGTCACACTCACTGCCTCCACAGGGGCCAGGTGGGTCACACTCACACAGGGACCAGGTGGGTCACACTCACTGCCTCCACAGGGACCAGGTGGGTCACACTCACTGCCTTCACAGGGACCAGGTGGGTCACACTCACTGCCTCCACAGGGGCCAGGTGGGTCACACTCACACAGGGACCAGGTGGGTCACGCTCACTGCCTCCACAGGGACCAGGTGGGTTACGCTCACTGCCTCCACAGGGACCAGGTGGGTCACACTCACTGCCTCCACAGGGACCAGGTGGGTCACACTCACTGCCTCCACAGGGGCCAGGTGGGTCACACTCACACAGGGACCAGGTGGGTCACACTCACTGCCTCCACAGGGACCAGGTGGGTCACACTCACTGCCTTCACAGGGACCAGGTGGGTCACACTCACTGCCTCCACAGGGACCAGGTGGGTCACACTCACTGCCTCCACAGGGGCCAGGTGGGTCACACTCACACAGGGACCAGGTGGGTCACGCTCACTGCCTCCACAGGGACCAGGTGGGTCACACTCACTGCCTCCACAGGGACCAGGTGGGTCACACTCACTGCCTCCACAGGGGCCAGGTGGGTCACACTCACACAGGGACCAGGTGGGTCACACTCACTGCCTCCACAGGGACCAGGTGGGTCACACTCACTGCCTTCACAGGGACCAGGTGGGTCACACTCACTGCCTCCACAGGGACCAGGTGGGTCACAGTCACTGCCTCCACAGGGGCCAGGTGGGTCACACTCACACAGGGACCAGGTGGGTCACGCTCACTGCCTCCACAGGGACCAGGTGGGTCACACTCACTGCCTCCACAGGGGCCAGGTGGGTCACACTCACACAGGGACCAGGTGGGTCACGCTCACTGCCTCCACAGGGACCAGGTGGGTTACGCTCACTGCCTCCACAGGGACCAGGTGGGTCACACTCACTGCCTCCACAGGGACCAGGTGGGTCACAGTCACTGCCTCCACAGGGACCAGGTGGGTCACACTCACTGCCTCCACAGGGACCAGGTGGGTCACACTCACTGCCTCCACAGGGACCAGGTGGGTCACACTCACTGCCTCCACAGGGACCAGGTGGGTCACACTCACTGCCTCCACAGGGACCAGGTGGGTCACAGTCACTGCCTCCACAGGGACCAGGTGTATTGTATGGCGAGCACTTTACTTAGCTCTGCTTTAATAATGAATAAACAGAAACTATGGCTGTATCTGTCCACACGCTCCCTACAGTGCACTATGTGGTGGTCACGCCATTTTGAAGGCGTGTCCAAATGTCCAGAGAGAAAAGTAGTGCACTCACATTTGGAAATAGTGTGTGCAGCGTCCGAGCCGACAGAATAAGTGCACACTCAGTCCCACACTGCATCGTGACTGAGTGGACAGGGATCAGTGTGGACGTCTGGATGCAGCCTGTCATGGAGCTGTGATGGGAAAGAACTAAAACTGATCAAATTTGGTCAAATGTATCTTAACATGAGCTCACTCTGCCTTAAAATAAGATTCACTACTGGGACAGCACAAAAGCATATTGTTTTATAAAGATACTGTATGTCTCATCTAACTCAAACCTCAGACTTTAACATGATGAGTCTATGGTTTACTTTAGCACAGGGATCTCAGGTACAGAGAGGCCAAAACAACTAATCTGCTTTAAGCCGAGGGTCAAACATGTCTAAATGATGTTTGGTATTTTATTAATGATTAAATTGAGAATCCAATGTTTTTGTGGATCTGTCATTTCAAGTGAAACATTTCCAACAGCCTCAAAAACAAACTTCCTTAAAACAAAAAACACAAGTCCTGAACATTTAATGAATTATCCAACATGCTCTTATGTCTTTGTGGGTCCGGGTCGAGCTAATACCATTCCAGGCCCAAGGTAGTTTATTGTGGGCCGGATCTGACCCCCGGGCCTTGACTTTGACGTACATGATTTAACATAATAAGAAGCATTGGTCTCTGCCCCTGATGGACCAATGACATTCCATGTGATAGATTCTCTAATCTGTGTTGGAGAATCGACAACTCCTCACGGATACCTGCTGTGTCCCTCAGGCGCTCTGCAGGGGGCCATCCTGGGGGACCCGGCCTCGACCCTGCAGCAGTGGCTCCACATCTGTGCCCTCTGCTCCTCACTGCAGCCTGAGCTCTCCCAGGCCATCAGCACCGCCCTCCTGAGCCAGAGCGGGACGGCCCGGATCAGCCCAGACCCCGAGGGCGCCCGGCTCACCCAGCACCTCTACATGTGACCCCCCCCCCCAGAGAGACAGCACCTCTACATGTGACCCCCCCCCCCCGAGAGACAGCACCTCTACATGTGACCCCCCCCCCCCCCCCCCGAGAGACAGCACCTCTACATGTGACCCCCCCCCCCCGAGAGACAGCACCTCTACATGTGACCCCCCAGAGAGACAGCACCTCTACATGTGACCCCCCCCCCCCAGAGAGACAGCACCTCTACATGTGACCCCCCCCCCCCAGAGAGACAGCACCTCTACATGTGACCCCCCCAGAGAGACAGCACCTCTACATGTGACCCCCCCAGAGAGACAGCACCTCTACATGTGACCACCCCCGAGAGACAGCACCTCTACATGTGACCCCCCAGAGAGACAGCACCTCTACATGTGACCCCCCCCCCCCCCGAGAGACAGCACCTCTACATGTGACCACCCCCCCCAGAGAGACAGCACCTCTACATGTGACCCCCCCAGAGAGACAGCACCTCTACATGTGACCCCCCCCGAGAGACAGCACCTCTACATGTGACCACCCCCGAGAGACAGCACCTCTACATGTGACCCCCCAGAGAGACAGCACCTCTACATGTGACCCCCCCCCCCCCCAGAGAGACAGCACCTCTACATGTGACCCCCCAGAGAGACAGCACCTCTACATGTGACCCCCCCCCCCCCGAGAGACAGCACCTCTACATGTGACCCCCCAGAGAGAGACAGCACCTACTGTCAGTGTGCCCCAGGGCAGCTGTGGCTGCAGCAGTAGTTTTCAGTGAAAGAATAATAAAACCAATGCATTATATCGATGATTGTATTGATGCAGTTGTTAATAAAACTATTTCTAAACAACATCAGCAGCATCTTTCTTTCTGCTGCACTGACTGTGTCCAGGAGGGGGCGCACTTCACACTCCAAAGGCAGAGACAAAGAGAAGTATCGAATCTTTAACTTTAGCATAATGAAGAAGCAAGTATAAATAAATTCTAGTCATAAACTGTAGCGCATAAATATATAGTAGCATGTTTGCATCTGTGCATGTTAGCATGTTAGTATGTTAGCATGTTAGCATGTTAGCATGTTGGTATGTTGGTATGTTAGTATGTTAGCATGTTGGTATGTTAGCATGTTAGTATGTTAGCATATTAGCATGTTAGCATGTTGGTATGGGGCGACAGTAGCTCAGTTGGTAGAGCATTGGCCTTAAGGCCAGAAGGTCGTGGGTTCAATTCCCACCTCTGCACCTTCTCCATCGACTCCCACTGATGACTGCTGTCGTTGTGTCCTTGGGCAAGACACTTAACCCCACTTTGCCCAAAGCCCCCACTGAAAGATCAAGGCTATGCTCACAGTCAGAGAGCAGCCGTCCTCCTGTGGACTCACCACCTGCAGAGGGTCAGTGAGGGGCTGGTGCTATGAGACTTGGGTGGCATCTCTGACTGCCACCCCCCTGACCCAGAAATGGATTAAAGGGTAGAAAATGGATGGCATGTTAGTATGTTAGCATGTTGGTATGTTAGCATGTTGGTATGTTAGCATGTTAGTATGTTAGCATGTTGGTATGTTAGCATGTTAGCATGTTAGCATGTTGGTATGTTAGTATGTTAGCATGTTGGTATGTTAGCATGTTAGTATGTTAGCATGTTGGTATGTTAGCATGTTAGCATGTTAGCATGTTGGTATGTTAGCATGTTAGTATGTTAGCATGTTGGTATGTTAGCATGTTAGCATGTTAGCATGTTAGTATGTTAGTATGTTAGCATGTTAGTATGTTAGTATGTTAGCATGTTAGCATGTTGGTATGTTAGCATGTTAGTATGTTAGCATGTTGGTATGTTAGCATGTTAGCATGTTGGTATGTTAGCATGTTAGTATGTTAGCATGTTGGTATGTTAGTATGTTAGCATGTTAGCATGTTGGTATGTTAGCATGTTAGTATGTTAGTATGTTAGCATGTTAGTATGTTAGCATGTTAGTATGTTAGCATGTTAGCATGTTAGCATGTTAGTATGTTAGCATGTTAGTATGTTAGCATGTTAGTATGTTAGCATGTTAGCATGTTAGCATGTTAGTATGTTAGCATGTTAGTATGTTAGCATGTTAGATGTATGTTAGTATGTTAGCATGTTAGCATGTTAGTATGTTAGCATGTTAGTATGTTAGCATGTTAGCATGTTAGCATGTTAGATGTTAGTATGTTAGCATGTTAGCATGTTAGCATGTTTAGTATGTTAGCATGTTAGTATGTTAGCATGTTAGTATGTTAGCATGTTAGTATGTTAGCATGTTAGTATGTTAGCATGTTTAGTATGTTAGCATGTTAGTATGTTAGTATGTTAGCATGTTAGCATGTTAGTATGTTAGCATGTTAGTATGTTAGCATGTTGGTATGTTAGTATGTTAGCATGTTAGCATGTTAGCATGTTAGTATGTTAGCATGTTAGTATGTTAGCATGTTAGCATGTTAGCATGTTAGTATGTTAGTATGTTAGCATGTTAGTATGTTAGCATGTTAGTATGTTAGCATGTTAGTATGTTAGCATGTTAGCAAATGAGCATGTTAGCATGTAAGTATGTTAGCATGTTAGTATGTTAGCATGTAAGTATGTTAGCATGTTAGCATGTTAGTATGTTAGCATGTTAGTATGTTAGTATGTTAGCATGCTAGTATGTTAGTATGTTAGCATGTTAGTATGTTAGTATGTTAGTATGTTAGTATGTTAGCATGTAAGTATGTTAGCATGTTAGCATGTAAGTATGTTAGCATGTTAGCATGTTAGTTTGTTAGCATGTTAGCATGTTAGCATGTTAGTATGTTAGTATGTTAGCATGTTAGCATGTTAGCATGTTAGTTTGTTAGCATGTTAGTATGTTAGCATGTTAGTATGTTAACATGTTAGTATGTTAGTATGTTAACCTGTTAGTATGTTAGCATGTTAGCAAATGAGCATGTTAGTATGTTAGCATGTTAGTATGTTAGCATGTTAGTATGTTAGCATGTTAGTATGTTAACATGTTAGTATGTTAGCATGTTAGCAAATGAGCATGTTAGCATGTAAGTATGTTAGCATGTTAGCATGTTAGTATGTTAGCATGTAAGTATGTTAGCATGTAAGTATGTTAGCATGTTAGCATGTTAGTATGTTAGCATGTAAGTATGTTAGCATGTTAGTATGTTAGCATGTTAGTATGTTAGCATGTAAGTATGTTAGCATGTTAGCATGTTAGTATGTTAGCATGTTAGTATGTTAGCATGTTAGTAAGTAAGTAAGTTTTTATTTATATACCGCCTTTTCACTGCAGACCAGAGTCTCAAAGCGGTTTACAATTGTTAATTTTGGGCATTTGTCTCTCACTCCACACAGAGATGGGAGCGGGGCCAGTACAGGAGGCACATGCCAGAACTATTGGACATATTTTTAGTGGTAGGGGAAACCGGAGTACCCGGAGGAAACCTACGCAGACACAGGGAGAACATGCAAACTCCACTCAGAAAGGCCCTGGCCCGACCGGGATTCGAACCCAGGACCTTCTTGCTGAGAGGCGAGAGTGCTATCCACTCAGCCACCGTGCCGCATGTTAGTATGTTAGCATGTTAGTATGTTAGCATGTTAGCATGTTAGTATGTTAGTATGTTAGCATGTTAGCATGTTAGTATGTTAGCATGTTAGCATGTTAGTATGTTAACATGTTAGTATGTTAGCATGTTAGCATGTTAGCATGTTAGTATGTTAACATGTTAGTATGTTAGCATGTTAGTATGTTAGCATGTTAGCATGTTAGTATGTTAGCATGTTAGCATGTTAGCATGTTAACATGTTAGTATGTTAACATGTTAGTATGTTAGCATGTTAGTATGTTAGCATGTTAGCAAATGAGCATGTTAGTAAGTTAGCATGTTAGCATGTTAGTATGTTAGCATGTTAGTATGTTAACATGTTAGTATGTTAGCATGTTAGTATGTTAGCATGTTAGTATGTTAACATGTTAGTATGTTAGCATGTTAGCATGTTAGTATGTTAACATGTTAGTATGTTAGCATGTTAGCATGTTAGTATGTTAGCATGTTAGTATGTTAGCATGTTAGTATGTTAACATGTTAGTATGTTAGCATGTTAGTATGTTAGCATGTTAGTATGTTAACATGTTAGTATGTTAGCATGTTAGCATGTTAGTATGTTAACATGTTAGTATGTTAACATGTTAGCATGTTAGCATGTTAACATGTTAGCATGTTAGCATGTTAACATGTTAGTATGTTAGCATGTTAGCATGTTAGTATGTTAGCATGTTAGCATGTTAGTATGTTAACATGTTAGTATGTTAGCATGTTAGCATGTTAGTATGTTAACATGTTAGTATGTTAGCATGTTAGCATGTTAGTATGTTAACATGTTAGTATGTTAGCATGTTAGCATGTTAACATGTTAGTATGTTAGCATGTTAGCATGTTAGTATGTTAGCATGTTAGCATGTTAGCATGTTAGTATGTTAGCATGTTAGCATGTTAGTATGTTAGCATGTTAGCATGTTAGCATGAGGCTCTGAAACAGTGACACGTCTGGTTCTATATTGAACATTCTGATATAATAAAGTTATTAATGCACAGAGAAGTAAGGCTCTTATCTAGGGTCTCTCTGGTCTCACTCTCTTTCCATTACAAAGAGTAAAGGATAGATCCAAACCTAAAAAAACCCATGGATGACCAAGGGATTAGAACGAGCTTGTAAGAAGAAGAACCAATTGTACAAAACATTTGTAAAAAATAGAACAGTAGATGCTGAAAGAAAATATAAAAAGTACAAAAATAAATTAGTAAATATTATGAGAAATAGAAAAATGGATTACTTTCAAACCCAATTAGAAGCACAAAAACAAAATATAAAAGGTACATGGAGTGTGATAAATAGAATCATAAAGGAAGGACGAAAAAAGTCAGAAATCCCAAATTACATGAAAAAGGAAAATACCAAATTAGAATCCCTAAAAGAAATAGTTGATGAATTCAACAAATATTTAGCAAATGTGGGCTCCAATCTTGCAAAAGACATTGACAATAAAGGAATAAATATAACCCCAGTGAGGCCGTTCAAACTCATATAAATTCCTTCCTTAATCCTACAAATGGAAAAGAAGTCGTACAAATTGTAAAAAAATGTAAAGAAAAAACGTCTAAAGACATAAATGATATAGACATGAATAAAAAACACAGTTATACCCACTGCACAGCCCTAACATATTTATGTATCAGTCGTTTAAAAAGCAATATTCCCAGATGAGTTATTCCGATATTCCAAACTGGTGAAAAGCACTCGTTCTCAAACTATAGAGAAGGTGTTGTTCAAAGACTTGATCAGTTCTTAGAGAAATATGAGCTACTGAGCGATCACATGTTCTGAAAGAACCGCTGCAACGGCTGTTATGGATTTAACACAAAACATTTCCAAAGCAATTGATGACAAACAATACAGTGTTGGTTTTTATTGACCTGAAGAAGGCTTTTGATCACAACATCCTGTTACTAAAACTAAGAAAACACAGATTTAGAGACCAGTGCATGGCTGCAGAGTTATTTAGAAAACACCAGAACGTACAAATAAATGATACAAAATCAGAAATGGTTAAAATAACTTATGGAATTCCACAGGGATCCATTCTAGGACCTAAAATATTCATTATCTACATTCATGATTTGTGTCCTATTTGCGGATGACACCCCCTTGTACAGCTCGATTTAAATCATGTGGAAATGATGGAAAGAGTTGCACAAGTTTAAAATGTGGTTTGATATTAATAAATTATCTTTAAACATTAAAAAAACGAAATACATGATATTTTTTAATGGTAAAATTGACGATGGCGTAAGCTTAACGCTGAACAATATGCCATTAGAACGAGTAAATGAAAATACATTTTTAGGAGTAACCATTGATGAGGATTTCAATTGGAAATCACACATAAATTATATCAAAATTAAATTATCTAAAACAATAGCAATATTATATAAATCTAGACATAATCTAAATAAAGAGAGTTTACTTATTATATACAACTCACTAATAATGCCATATATAACGTACTGTAAATACCTACAAAATACACTGCAAAAAAAGGCTCATCTCGAACTACAACCACTCATCCTTTATTTACAAACCTTAAAACATTGACATTTTATGACCTTGTAGAGTTATATACTCTAAAAATCATGTTTAGAGTTAAAAACAAACTTTTGTCCCAAACGCTGCTAAATATTGTTGACATAAGACAAAGCCATTATGAGCTCCGAGGAGGAGAAGTTTTCAATAAAACATATTTTAGAACAGATACAATGGGTTCCTGCTAAAGGTCGACCTCTGGAATAACTGCACAGAGGAAATTTAACAGTGCACCTCTCTTTCATTTTAAAAGATTATATAAAAATAAGACTCTTGTCAGATACTTGAAATTTATCCAATAATTTTCTGTTTCTGTATCTCCTTAATGGATAAACGGCCTGATGTTTTTAGTTTTTGTTTTTGTATTTCCAATGAGGAAAAACACAAAGGCACGTGTTGTAAAGGCAGGCAGTATAAGCTCATGCTTCAGTGTAAAGTAAAGTATCAGTTTGTACGGTACATTCTTCTTTTTGTGTGTGGAATATTTTGTGTTTCTGTGGAAACTATCCTTCTACAACTTTGTTTTCGATGCCTGACCGAATAAACTAAACTAAACTAAACTCTGGTCTCCCTCTGGTCTCTCTCTGGTCTCTCTCTGGTCTCTCTCTGGTCTCTCTCTCTGGTCTCTCTCTGGTCTCTCTCTCTGGTCTCTCTCTGGTCTCTCTCTGGTCTCTCTGGTCTCTCTGGTCTCTCTCTGGTCTCTCTCTGGTCTCTCTGGTCTCTCTCTCTGGTCTCTCTCTGGTCTCTCTCTGGTCTCCCTCTGGTCTCTCTCTCTGGTCTCTCTGGTCTCTCTCTGGTCTCTCTCTGGTCTCTCTCTGGTCTCTCTCTCTGGTCTCTCTCTGGTCTCTCTCTGGTCTCTCTCTGGTCTCACTCTGGTCTCCCTCTGGTCTCCCTCTGGTTTCCCTCTGGTCTCACTCTGGTCTCCCTCTGGTCTCCCTCTGGTCTCCCTCTGGTCTCCCTCTGGTCTCCCTCTGGTCTCACTCTGGTCTCCCTCTGGTCTCACTCTGGTCTCCCTCTGGTCTCTCTCTGGTCTCTCTGGTCTCTCTCTGGTCTCTCTCTGGTCTCTCTCTGGTCTCTCTCTGGTCTCTCTCTCTGGTCTCTCTCTGGTCTCTCTCTGGTCTCTCTCTGGTCTCTCTGGTCTCTCTGGTCTCTCTGGTCTCTCTCTGGTCTCTCTCTGGTCTCTCTCTGGTCTCTCTCTCTGGTCTCTCTCTGGTCTCTCTCTGGTCTCTCTCTGGTCTCACTCTGGTCTCCCTCTGGTCTCCCTCTGGTTTCCCTCTGGTATCTCTCTGGTCTCACTCTGGTCTCCCTCTGGTCTCCCTCTGGTCTCCCTCTGGTCTCCCTCTGGTCTCCCTCTGGTCTCACTCTGGTCTCCCTCTGGTCTCACTCTGGTCTCCCTCTGGTCTCTCTCTGGTCTCTCTCTGGTCTCTCTCTGGTCTCACTCTGGTCTCTCTCTGGTCTCACTCTGGTCTCCCTCTGGTCTCCCTCTGGTCTCCCTCTGGTCTCTCTCTGGTCTCACTCTGGTCTCCCTCTGGTCTCACTCTGGTCTCACTCTGGTCTCCCTCTGGTCTCTCTCTGGTCTCCCTCTGGTCTCCCTCTGGTCTCACTCTGGTCTCTCTTTATCTTCCTCCAGTTAACCTCTAGTGAATGTGTCTGAACTCTGCTCTGCTCCAAATGAAGTCACTGCCTCCGTATAATGAACTAGCAATTAGCAGCAAAGCTAATTCCCCTTTGCCACAGCGTAAACATGACCCTAAAGAAGAGAAAGAGAACAGTGTAGCCCCTCTCCTCCCCCTCTCCTCCCCCTCCTCTCCTCCCTCCCTCACCCTCCTCTCCTCCCCCTCTCCTCCCCCTCCCCCTCCTCCCCCTCCTCTCCGCCCATTCAAGTCCTGATGCTAATAATACGGTCATTTACGACTCTCTAATCCACTCTAAGATCACTGCTCCTTTAGTGTGTGTGTGCGTCTGTGTGTGCGTCTGTGTGTGTGTGTGCGTCTGTGTGTGTGTGTGTGTGTGTGTGTGTGCTTGCATTGGGGGGGGGGTCCCAGGATAATGGTAGTACTGGGACCAGCCCGAGAAGCATATGGTGAGGCCGGGACGCCTGCTGGTGCGGCAGCTGTGGGACTGCAGGATCACACAGACAGCATTAAAGAGCCATCAGAGCCCCCCCCCCCCCCCCCCCCCCCCCTCCCCCCTCCCCCCCTCACCCCTCCCTCACCCCTCTCCTCACCCCTCTCCTCACCCCTCTCCTCCCCCCTCCACAACAAACCCCCACCCATCCTCTCCCACCGTCGCCCAGACTCTGCACCCACCAGCTCAGGCCACCGCGGCTGCAGAGAGAGAGAGCTGCGGCGGGCGACCAAGTGGACCATAAAAGACCAGTACTGAGGCCACCTGGTCTCAGAGATGTCTCCCATGGTCTCTGGAACCATGGGCCAGATACACACACAACATGAATCATGATTTTTGTCAATGTCGGCCATTTTGTTTCACTTTTTATCACTTCCTGTCTTGTAGCACACCTAATCCTACTGAAGCCAAAAGTAAAAACCATGTGTGTTGCTATGGTAACTAGCTCTCGCTCCCAGCTGAGATTGCTCTGAACCAATCACAAACCAGCACCTTGAGAGAAGTAGCGGGTCTCTCTGATTGGTCAGAACTCTCACATGTTCTTCCGGTCCTGTGGAAGTAGAACCGATGTACCTGCTGCACAAGACCCGGAAAACCAGAAAGACCAGGAGAACCAGAAAGACCAGGAGAACCAGAGAGACCAGAACACGCCACCTCTGATCTGAAAGAGCAGACTTCTTGGAGAAACCGGAGGCAGACATCTTGGAGAGACCAGGGGCAGACATCTTGGAGAGACCAGGAGCAGACATCTTGGAGAGACCAGAGGCGGACATCTTGGAGAGACCAGAGGCAGACATCTTGGAGAGACCAGAGGCGGACATCTTGGAGAGACCAGAGGCAGACATCTTGGAGAGACCAGAGGCGGACATCTTGGAGAGACCAGAGGCAGACATCTTGGAGAGACCAGAGGCGGACATCTTGGAGAGACCAGAGGCAGACATCTTGGAGAGACTAGAGGCAGACATCTTGGAGAGACCAGAGGCAGACATCTTGGAGAGACCAGAGGCAGACATCTTGGAGAGACCAGAGGCAGACATCTTGGAGAGACCAGAGGCAGACATCTTGGAGAGACCAGAGGCAGACATCTTGGAGAGACTACACTCTAAAAAATAATGCCCTAGTCCAACGAGAAAAATTAGGGCAACCCTCTCCGCTCAACTTTTTGTCTTGTATCAAGAAGTGCACAATTGAGTCAAAGTAAACGCTCTTTTTGTTTTGAGACAACTCTATTTTTATCTTAAATTGATCATTTTATTAACTGAAGACAACTCAATAGTTCTTTTCATGTGTATAGTTTTTTGTGTTGCATACTCACTTTTTTAAGCTTCATGTACTCAATTTGTAACACAAGGCGTACTCATTTTAAAATACTTGCAACTTAAATTTCTTTGTTACAGCTACCCTTTTTTATATTGGCCTTACTTAATTTTAGTAATTTTACAATGTATTTTTAAAATATATTTCATACAGACAACAAAACAGATTATCAAACTGATTTATTTTTTACAGTACTGCAATACTGGGCAGATTTGACAGTAAAATCCACAACATCTCCATCTTACACCAACACTGACATTAAACTTCAGTGCAATTTAAAAACTATACCTGTACTTAACAGCAATAACAGTCCTCTTAACTAGGGTTTTACAACCTGAATTTTTGGAGTGCTATACATCACATTGTGGCTCCACTTTTTAAGTACAAATATGATGCATTAATGTAACCCTTCAATTAACTATACATTAACTGTAAAAGTATTTTTTTTTCGATAGAATACAAATGAATAAGAATTAAGAACATGGTGACAAGTTAAAACTGCATGCATAAACGCATCTCCTTCAACAGATTCTCAACATTTGAACGTAAATAAACAATTGGTTGAAAAGAACTGTATGTAGTGAACAACGTTATAGATCTTATAAAATGCTTCTTTTGAGAGCCAGAACCTTGGCACTCATTTTCAGTGTGTCTAACTCGAGAAAAAGTTTCTGAAAGACTTCAAAAGTGTACTTTAGTGTCTTTTTGTAGTTGAGATTCAAAGCATAGATGACACCCATAAGAAGAGCACAGCACCTTGGGATATTTTTTTCCATGATGACTTGGGTTCCTTCAATCACAATTGCTCCGGTCCTGGTTGCAGATGATTCTTCTCCGATGATTGCAATACTCATGGTCAAGCGATGAAAACCCACTTCATAGTCATCAGTGCTCTATTGAAAATATAGAAAGGAATTTTACTTTTGTCTTATGTATATATTCTAATAGTTCATACAGAATACAATATTATTATAGTTTTATTAATTCTATGAGGTGTTCAGAAAAACATACTAAAAGTCAGAAGAAATCCAGGTTGGGCAAATACGTTTCATTTTCATCATAACTGAAGATGTACCAATACAGCCAGAGAACTGGAACGGATTTTTTTTTTCACAATGTAATGAAATAAGTATCCATTATTGTATTACAAATTTCTAATTGTACTATACAAATGAGCTCAACATATAGTGAATATACCCAAATCTGCATTTAAACATGACTGTAATACCCATAAAATGTAGCCTATTGCGGGTTAAAAAAAATGATGTCAAGGTTGCAACAGGGGAGTTTTTTTATTACTATTTTTTCTTTTTCTTTTTCTTTTTTTCTCGCCTAGACCCCATCTTAAGATCCCAGACAACTGGGACAAGTTACAGCTTGCGACTGTACGTAAAAAAGCTACATAATTATACCCACAAAAGGTAGTTTTTGTGTTTCAAATGCAGATGTATATTTCATTTGTGTTGAGCTCATAGAAACTTATACAAAAAACTACTTTACACTTTCATATAAAAAAAAAAAGATTTTAATAACTATGACTAACCATCTTGTAAATATTTTTTTCAGCCCCTGGCTCCAAAGAGTGAAACGGTGCTTGTGGACGCGCCATGATTCTGTAGCAATAGGATTTTGTGATGATGACGTCGTGGCCCTGCAGCCCCTCACTCCTATAGTGGATGTCCCCCGTAACAGGTTCTCACAACGGCCCCGCACTCCTATAGCCGGGGCATGGTGTCCTGCAGCGGAGAATGGCAGGGGCAGGACCGCGCAGCGGTGTTTGAGTCCGTACCACGGAGTGGCTCGTGAGCTCTGTGGTACGGACTTGTCCCTGCCATTCTCCGCTGCAGGAGACCATACCCTGGCTAAATAAGTGTGGGCAGCGGTGTGAGAACATGTTACGGGAGACATCCACTATAGGAGTGAGGGGCTGCAGGGCCACGACGTCATCATCACAAAATCCTATTGCTACAGAATCGTGACACGTCCACAAGCACCGTTTCACTCTCTTTGGAGCCAGGAACTAAAAATAGTCATAATTATGAAACAAAATGATATTTTTGTTCGAACATTGCCCTTCCATAGTGATCAGAGTGGAGGCAAAAAAATCTGCCAACGTAAAACTGTTGTATGTTGTTCTGGACACAAAAATTATCTCAAAACGCTATTTTCCCTGGCCCATAGGCTTTTGTTTTGCGTGTATATGCATCATTTGTGCAATTTTACTTACATCAAAATGTGCAAAGAGGTCCTCTTCTTTTTCATGTAAGTATACAATTAGGGCGCGAATAGCTGCCTCTCGACGAGGCGTCTACCTCAACGTTTTTGGACTGAAAACAATAGGGAAAAATTATTATAGAGCGCTTTTCACAGATACTAAACAGTTGTAGCCACCACTGTGAATATTAATTCAAAAACCCTACCAATCATTGCCAATGTGTACGTTTCTGGAAATAGTACAAGATATGTTTTATATCAGTTTTATACAGATTTTTTTTTTATCTGACCGAGACAAACCCCGGAGTTCAAAAAGCAGAGCAGGTTCCAAAAGTTTAAAGTTTCAAATATTTTCAAAGTAAAGACGTTTCAGCTCATAATCAATGTATGAGAACTGTATTAAAGAGGTGGAGATGTTAGTCCTGAGCTCATTTCACCTGTTGAATAAGCCCAGCACAACAGTGATTCAGTAGCTCATTGGGCTAGAAAGAGTAGCTCATATCAAAATCGACAATGAAACCTAGATGATAGCAGAAACCACCCTAAACTGAAAACTTTTTCAAGATGAAAGTTTTGAAAGCTGCTAGGCTTTCAGACAGCTTTCAAAACTTTCTGGCTGGATCACTCCTGGACAAATTAGTTAAAATTCTACAAAAAAGATGATTGAAACTAAATACCTGAAGAAGACACTCTCTTATTTTTCGTATTTTCTGTCCAGTAGCTCCTCCTCGGTCTGACCCGATCTCCATTAGTTTGCTAATGCAGTGGTCCAGTTGTGCCATGAAGGTGGACTCCAGTCTCACTGTCGTAATTCTTTTGAATTCTTCATTTATCTGCAGCACACAAAAATTAAACAGATACTTCATACACATCATTACACCACTCAGAGTTGTGTAAAGCAGTGGTTTAACGTGTAATGCATGCATACATATATACATTACCTGTGATGCATTGAAAAGTGCTGGCCAGCGCCCCAGGAAATCCTTCACCAGCGGCTCTTCACACAGGACTTCCTGACGACGGAGAGAGAAAGTCCGGTCCATTTTTTGTGCTGTTACATGACTGTCCCTCTTGGTTCTTTCCAGTAAAAGTTCCTGTCGCTCTCTCTCCAGAGTGACACTCGTTTCCCCTTGAATATGTGGAGGCAAATAATTCACTTCAGCCTTCTTGGGCTTCTTCACATTTTTTGCAGGGGTTCGATCGTGTGCTTGTTTCCTTTGAAGTGAATTCACAGTGAGCTCAGGGCAACCCATGCCTCTTAATTTTGATCTAAAGTTTCCCATCTTATGCTTCAGTCGCTGGATCCAACCATAGCACCCATTAAAAGATCCTGGCTCGTGAAGACACGGGTGTTTAGAAACTAGGGCTGTCGCAACTTGACTGAAATGAGCACTTGAAGGGTAGGCTATGTACTGAAAAATACCTTCTGCCAAGTGGCTAAGAATGTCAGGCAAGATTGACATCAGGTCTTTGGAGGGTAGAAGCGTCTGAGACGATCTGTACATCTCATTTCCAGTCGAAAGGATTATTTCTGTGGGTGATGAGAAACGAGGAATTGGGAATTCCACTGGCCAAGGTGTCGAGCGTTGATTTTCAGGTGGAGACAATGAAGATGATGAAAGAGTGAGGGTGTCGTCAGAGGAGAGTGAGGGGGCATCTTCAAAATGTGGATCTGGAAGATCTAAGCGCATTTCATCAGTGCTTGAGGAGGTGTCAACACTTGATAAATTCAGAGTGATTATTGGTTCCTGGGTATATACGATCTTGATAGTGTCCTTATCCTTAATTTCCGATGTTGAGAGTAGGGAAAAAAACTCATCTCCAAAATCTGCGTCCTTGTAATGCAATGTAAAATCACTAGAAATGTTGAATGTTTCTTTCAATTGGGAATTTAGTGCTTCCATTGTTGAGGGAATTCCATTTGGCAACACAAACTTGCGGATCACATTGTCACTAATGACGACACGAAGAATTGTTGATTCTGTCATCATTCAATCTGAAAAAATAAAAAGCAAATAGTTAAAAACATTACAGTTAGGCCTGTCATGATAACTAATATTAATGGACAATATGTTGTGATACACAATATTGAAACTTCTTTATGCAATTGATGCAAGTTCAATACAGCAAGATCATCCCAAGTAAAGAAATTATTAGATTTTGTATAAATCTTCATAAATTTTCTAAGAAACAAGCCAAATTCTATTCTCTATTGCAAATACAAATCTATACACAATTAATATAAAGCCCAAAAATATATAGTTCCATCAAACAGTCAATATAGTAATATTGTGACAGGCCTAAAAACAGTTCTGGTGAGTTGCATTTTAAAATGAATCCACTGTGATCAGACGCCTCAGGGTTATGATCTTGTTTCCACCCAACATATAAGGTGTTAAAGGAAACACATCTGTTAAATCCTCTGGCTCTATCACTTTTACTCTATGAGTTTTCTCAAGGATGAAGCTTCTCAGATGCTCAATGGACCATGCAGTCAGACATTCCACAATAAATGCAAGAGACCCTTTCACAGCAACAATTTGCAAAACTTCAACAAAATCAGGAAGACCTCCTGTTGAGCCATGAGCAAGGATCATTCCAACAGCATATTTCGTGCCATGATAATGTACTACTTTAGTTAAGTGTATCTCGGTCTCATTTGGGAACTTCGAGTGGAGTGCTTTCTGGAAGTCAGCTCTTAAGACAGCAATGTCGACTGGTGAAAGCTGCATTGTTTGTAATGCAGGACTAGCATTGCCGTGATCTTGCTGGTTGTGATATGCCATCATCAGTTGATGTTTAGCTGCAAGTGATAGTAGAATATTACGAAAGCAGTGTGTGTGTCTGCAACACGCTTGAAGAAGCTGTGTTTTGCCTCAAACCTCATAGTCCACTGGTGTACAAGTGGACCGTAGTGTCTGATCAGTTGACTGTAATGTTCAAGGAAATGATGTTTTGGAATTAGTTTTTCGTCTGGAAACACCTGAAGGAACTTGTGCCTGTGTTCAGAAATTTTACTATCAAGGTAGCATATTGTCTCCTCTGTGTGGACTTGGCCAACAACAAGTTCTACTATGTCTTTAAGCAGTAAAAGCACCTCCCATGCAGCTTCACCTTCTGGAATTTTATTTCCAATGATGAGAGGCAATAATCTCAACAATGACCAATTCTCATGGGCATTTCCCCCAACACTTTTTTTAGCTGCAAAATGCATTGGGACTGATTGTGGTGCATCCGTTTTGTCTGTCCATTTGTAAGGGAATGTTTTGATACTTTTGTTAAGTTCATCAATAGTGAAATACTTTCTTTGGATGAATACTTGAAGACACAATGAGAGTTCTCTAGGAACTATACCTTCAAACAGATCGTGCATTGCATCTGGCGGGTAACCAGATGTGACATGAAAGTACTTAAGACTATTTGTAAGTACACATTGCTTTTTCACTCCAAATACATTGTTTAATGTAGCATTTTCCTGCACAATCCGAACATGCTCTTCATGCATTTCCCTAGTTCTTGGAGTAAATGCTCCTGTTCTCACTTCTTCACTTTGAAATTCTTTATGTTGCCCCAAACAAAATCGACACACATA